TGGTGGGAGTAGCAAATCCTGGCTGGTGGTGTGTCCTCCTTCCCACACACCTAGTCCTGCCAAATGAGACTAGGGGCGGCTTCTCCACCAGGGGTGAAGGGAAGATAGAGAAGACCCATCTGAGGTTAACAGAGCAAAGAGGAGGCTCTGAGATGTTGAGAGCTTGCCTCTCATCCACTTCAAGCTTACCTGGTCTGGCTCTGACCTAGCCCAGGACACACAGACCCTCAGCTCCAGCCTACTTGAGGATCTTGTCTTCTTGGGTTCCCATATGGGGCTGAGTGGCAGGAAGGGACAGGTTGGAGGTGCCCAGCTCAGTGCCTCCTCACGGTCACCTCTGGGTGTTTCACCTTTTCTCTGGTGCACTGTCCTCACTGGCATTCACTTGCTGCGAGCCTGTGAAAAGCCCAGGACAGAGTGGGACTGAACAGCCACGCTGTTTTCCCTGAGAGCTCTGTGTGCTGGCACACATGCTCCCTGGCTGGCACCTTCACTTGCCACAGTGATGCTGGGCCCACACACTCACAAATGGTAACCAGAGCTTAAGTAAAACACCCACAGAGCTTGAGCTATGCTAACAGGCTCACACACATGGACAAATGCAGGGAAGAGGGGCCAGGAAGTGACAAGGGCAGGAAGAAGATTCCTGGGGACATTGTAGGAGGCTACAGGGAGTCCAGAACTGGCACCACAGCATAAGTGTGCTCAGGAGACAGTGGCCGGGTACACGGCACACAACCTCCCCTGGACTCATGTCCTCTCCAACCAGGCTCCAGTTTGGCATTAGTTTGGCGATGGGCCCCCAAATATCAAGAGATGTTCCTTAACTTCTCCCTGGCAGACAGGAGCCTCTTGAGGCAGCCAGACCTGTGTGTGTACCAGGGACTAAGGGCATAGCTCCCTGGGAGGACAAGCAGGCCCGGGAGTGCTGCACAGGGAGCAGGCATGTGGGGGGGTGGTTCTTACACAATGCTGTTAGGGCTCTGCAGGGCAGGAGAGTCGAAAGGCCCCTGGCAGCTCCCCGGGCCCTTATGCCTGGGCAAAGAAACCACAGCCTGAAACTCCTGGGTTTCTGAAGGCTGGGAAGGCAGGACTGTTTGAGGCCTGCTCCACTCAGGCTGCCTCCCTAGACTCTGTCATTCCTCTGAGGCCAGAGGGCTGCCAAGCATGTTGGGCACCAAATCATAGGCTTCCAGAAACTCAGCTAGGCCAGTGCTTTTAATTCCCACCGAATATGGGAAGAATTTGTTAAAATCATTGTTCCTTTGTCCAGAGGCCTGCAAACACTGTGAAACCAACCCACTTAGGTAGAGATGGCAGCTGGAAAAGGGAGTCTGAGAACACTGATCATTTCCCCGGATGTGCCAGACAGTATTTTAGCATGTTCTGAATATTAACTTGTTCAGTTTCCACCATAACCCTGGAAAGTAGGTACTGTTATTGTCATCTCAATTTCTTAGGTCAGGAAGCAACTTGCCCAATTTCACACAGCCAGTGTGTAAGCAGGGCTGGGACTTGAACTCAGGCCGCTTTAACAGTTATTTATATTCTTTCAGTTATTTTGCAATCAAGCAGAATTAGAGACAACCAATTAGAAATACATTGGAAATGGCATAGCAGCAAGGGTTGCAAACTTCTGTGCCTACAGGGCTAGGCATGTGAAATGAATGTGTGACTCAGGCTGGGTAGGGAGAGGCCTGTGGTCCAACTGGAGAGTGTGTAGGCAACCCAGAGGTGGCCCTATGCAAATTCCTGAAAACAAAACTTGCCTAGAGGCCATCTGGGGCCCCTGGCTGAGAGCAGCTCTAACCTAAGCCCTGTATCCCTTGTGCTATAAACAGTCCCATGCCAAGAAATGCAGTCTACCAGTATATGCCAGCTTGTCTTGGGGGTTTAAAAGGCCACAGAAGCTGCAAAGGACTGAGTTGCAACAGTGAGTGGAAGTGACGGGACAGGAAGAACAGCCCGTTCAGAAACTGCAAAGGAGGTGGGGACTTGCTTATCACCAGAGGAATAGGCTTTTAATAGCCTAAAAAAATTCCACCACTTATGAGCAAATACCACAGTTCTATGTCAAGGAGAAGGTCTAGGAGGTGACTTCTACTCTAGGACTCATCTAACAATGTGCATTTTAGCCCCAGCCTGGTCACTTGGTTACTGTGTAAGGCCCTTCTATACTGCCTTGGTCGGCTTTTTTGACTTGTTCAATGGATAGTGAACAACTAAGAATTAGAGGTTGAAACTATACATTTGCTGATTTTCAATTGGTCTTGACCTACAAAAATACCAGTTTCACATGATTTAGATCCATAATTGTCCTACCTACCTTGCAAGATGCAGAGAACAAATGAAAATGCTTAATGCCATGTACACAGCTGGCGCTCAGTGAATGCTGGTTCCAGAACCAGGTGGGCATGAGCCTTATCTGCTTCCAGCAAAGCCAGCTGCATGGAGACAGGGTCAGGTAAAGTAGTACTCCGAGGGAAATTCACATTCACCTCGCTGCTCCTGGGTGTTTGCCTTCCCCACACCCTGGCCAAAATCCTTAACAGTAACGTCGTTTACAGCTGCGACACTGAGACAACTGCCCAAGGTCGCCATCCAGACAGGGAAGAAGGCTCAATCGCTTAGGTGTGGCACAAATCAAGCTCTCGCGGTATCTGGTTTCTGGGGACTGTACGATCTCCTCGAGGGTAACAGGAGAGTAACGGATGCATCACCGGTGCTGGGCGCTGTCCTGCCCCATTGGCGATGCCGCACAATCCCTCCACCTTTTGGAGAATGTGGCACAAAGGAGGCGGTCGCGCCGGCAGCGGCCGAAGAGCTCCTTCCTCCTCTGGGGCGAAGGGTGGCTCCAGGTCCGCGCAGCATTAAAGGCAGCTGGCGGCGGATGGGAGGGGACTGAACAAAGAGTTGGGACGCGTGGTCCTCGGGGACACCATTGTGACTCCCTTGGACTGGTGCACGCCTACCCCTGGGGGGAATTCCACCTCCAGCCTTTGGGGCTCCCTGGGACAGGTCAGAGCCCCGCGGGCGCCCCTTCCGCCACCGCGTTCCTCGGAGGGGACCACGAACCCCCGGCAGCGGGAGGTGGTGAGGTGCCTCCGCCCTGTCCAGCACCTGCCCCCCTTTTCTCCCGGCCAAAGGACAGGGAGCCCGAACCTCTCTCTCTCCCCAAAGCATACTCGCTCGGGAAAGCCCCACAGGCCAATGGCCAGACAGGAGCAGGGGTGCGGACCTGACGCGTGCAGGACAGAGGTAATGGGAGGGGGCCTAGACCCGCGTGGCGCGCCAGCGCTCCGCGCCTCCTCCCAGCCTGGTAGCGGAGTCCAGAGCCGGGGGAGGCAACTGGGCGAGGGTGTAGTATGCTCAGCAAAAGGGGTCTGGTGGTTGGAGTGGGGCTAACTGGCCTCTGACCTAAACCGTGAAAAGCAAGTTAACTTCTCCTTTCAACCTCTACCGGACTTGGCGTCTGACCCTACTACAAGATCCCAAACTCCGGGTTTTCTCCATTCCCAGATGGGTGGCCCGAAGAGACAGACAGTAGAATTTGCCAATAGCAGGGCGCAAAGCGTCAACTTTGTGTTCGCCCGCCACTCTCAGCCAATGTACGTTCGCTTATCCGGAGTCCCGCCTTCCGTGTCGGGCGCCCCCTTCTGGCAACACAAGGATGAACCCTATCTGTCGCCATCTTGTGTGTGGCACAATTATATTTCTGTACCATCTTTCCACCTATTCTAATTCTTCTTCCCACAGAGCTGGTTTCTTAGTTCGACAGCCAAATGTAGTTACGATAAGGAGGGTATAACCTACAGTTTTAGGACGCTTTGCGTGGGTTGGATAGCCACGTCACGCCATGCTAAGCGAAGCCAGCGCCATCTTGAGTGTGGCGTCCTTATGGTTCCCTTCTCAGGGCTCCGCGTGGTTCCCTAAATGGCGCTACAAACTTCAAGGAGCCCCCAAGGACCATTCCAACTGGTCTAACGGGCTGTCATTACCCCATAAAATCCCTTAATATTTAAGTTCATGTGCCCCTCGAAGCCCTGCAAGTGGAATGGGAGAGGGGTAGACTCGATGGCCGGGCCCTGGAATAGGTTCCCTGAGGATGCCACGAGGGCTGTGACCGCTCGGGGCAGGCGTTATGCAGAACTTTGGAGTGTCCGGGGCTGTAGTGCAGTGCGACGCTCGCGAACTTCTTGCTCGAGGCCAGGAGCCCGCACCGATCCTCGAGTCCCTTCGATGTATGAATCCCCGTGTGCTTGACACGGAGCCCGCTCATCGACTGGCATACGCGGCCTACACCAGGGTTGGTGGCGGGCGACGGGGTCACCTCCCCAAAGATTAGGGGCACCCGGGGTAGACATGGTAGAGAAACGAGGCGGCCCAGGTGCGCATGTTTCAGCCTCGTGCCCTCTTCGGTCGTGCTGGGGCTTCTGCCCACTTGCGCTGGGGCAATTCTTGTCGAAGGTGTCTAAGCGCGGGGGAAAGGCCATCTCCGCGGCTCTGCACAGGACACTACTACTGGCCAGCGGAGCCCAGCACCCGGCCACCCCCTCCCCCTCGCGGGCAGCCGTCGTCCGCGCCGGGCCCCGCCACCTCCTCTTCCCTCCTCCCTCCTCTTTCCGAGCAGCCGCGAGGAGGGGGAGGGCGGGGGAGGGCGGTTTTGCCGCGCTTAGGCTTTCTGCGTCAGCGGCCCCAGCAAAACAGCGGCGGGAGCGCGCGCTCCGAGCGCGCTCGCGCGCCCCCGCTTCCCCCCTCAGCCGACGCCGAGACCTGGCAAACTCAGGCCTTGAATGACAGTGCTGCCGGCGACTGCGCAGCGCGGGACGCACCAAGGCACTGCCGCTTTAAGCACGCTTGCCCATTGTTCGGAATCGAGCCAATGAGCGAGCGCCCGCTCCCTGCGCTCAGCCAGTAGCATTCGGGGGAGGGAGGACGAGCGCCGCCCACTAATCTATATTAAAGGTTCTGGCGCCGCGTGAGTTCCCCACTGGCTGCTCTGAAAAGCCATCTTTGCATTGTTCCCGTGTTCGGCTCCCCGCTCGTCGCAGCCACCTCTGCCGCGCGCCTCCAACACCGCCGCCGCGGACTCCAGCAGCTTCATCGCCAGAGTCATTGAACTCTAGCTTTCTTTCAAATTCACTGCTTCGGATCACCGGCGTGCCCCATCATGTCAGACGCGGCCGTGGACACCAGCTCCGAGATTACCACCAAGGTGAGGCTGGACGCCTCCCGCCCCTTCGAGGTCCGCGCGCCGCCGCCGCCGGAGCGGCGTTTGGCGGGCGGCGGCTGGGCTGCCCCTAGTCGCTATTGGTCCCTCCCGCGGGAGCCCGCTCGACCCTGGCCTGGACTCCTCGGCAGCCCACTCTTTGTGTGTGCGGGGGAGGGGGCCGGCAGCGCTGCGGGCAGACGTGAAGCCCGTCGGGGACTGGGCCGGGCGCCCTCGGGGACTTGGGGTGCGGGCGCGAAGCTTGAAGGGCTCCGGGAGAGGCTGCTCCACGACTCCCGAAACTTGTTTGTGACTCGTTTGAGCGGCGGCGGGAGGAGAGGGGCCGGTTGGGGGTCGTCGGCCCGCACAGCGCACGAAAATAACTTTGAAACTCGAGCGCGTTTGGAATCGGAAGTGTTGTGGGGGGGGGGCGCGTGTGCAGCGGCGGCCCGGCTGCGGGAAGGTGGCTCCGCGGCGAGCGCCAGCCGGCTGCGCTGCTCTTTGTTCGGCGTGGGGAGCCTTGCACTGGGTCCGAGGACGTTTGTCTGCGCTAAAGTCTGCTAAAGCAGGGGAGTAGCGGGCCGGTCTCGACCGACGTCAGTTGTCTCCGCGGAGGTGTGGAAGGTCTCGGACCGCCCTGGGTGCCCTCGGGGAGGCGGGGTTGGGCGTTCTCTGGGGGGAGAGCGCAGGGAGCAGCCGCCTAGTTTCAATAATTCACTAGCGGTGCCGAGCTTGGCTGAGGAGGAGGCGAGCCCACGCGCCGGAGGGGAGGAAACGGAAAGTGAAGGAGCGGTGCGCCGGGGCGACGATGGGCGCCCCCCGCGGCTGCCCGGCAGTACCGTGTGCGCGGCCGCGCCGAGGACGACACGGGCGAACGGAAACTGCGGTGGCGGCTGGCCCGGCCCGTTGCGGGTTTAAGCTGGGTGCCGATTGTTGTCGAGGCCCGGTGTTTTGCCCTCGGGTTTGAGGTTCTGAGCGTTTGCCGCAGCTCCGCTGCTGCGCGCAGTGTCCGTTCCGCTGTCCGCCCCGGCAGCGCCTCAGCCTTCGGCGGGAGCGTGGCACTCTGGCGGACCGGCTTTTTTGATCTTCGGTTCCTGAGCCTGTCTCGTGCCCCTGCAGGAAGGGACGCTAGTCACCTTGGCGTCTCCTTAACCTCTGTGCCCCTGGCGTCACCTATGGCTCTCTCCCAGGGGCGACTCCCCCGGCGGAGCAGAGCTGGCGAATCGCATCTCCGCAGGGGCTCCCGCCGGCCACCTCTGGGCCCAGACCGGGAACTAGATGGGGAGGGCGGGGGGAGTCGGCCGCCTCCCAGCACGAGTGTCCGCGTCTGCTTCCCCCTAAGGTGATTTCCCGCCGGGGCAGTAAATAGCCCCGTGGAGCGCGTCCCCGACGGCCTCGGGTTGCGGGAGTGAGAAGACTCTGCGGACTTACTGGTAGCCTCCCGCGGGACTTTGCCCGCCAAATACAGAGACGCCGGCATGCGCTTCCGGCCTGGTGAAGGGGGTAGCAGGGGACGCCCGGGAAGACTGACGCACAACTCGCGTTCAGCGGTGCCCGGGAGCTCCCAGGCGCCGCGTCCCTAGGATCGGGGGTGCATTTGGAGGCCCGGGGCCACGTGCTCCGCGTGCGCGGTGCGTGCCGAGGCCCGCGCGCAAAGCCCGCCGGGCGGGGGCTGAGCGCCTGCGCGCTGCCACCTCCCCGCCCCCACCCTGTCCCCGGGGTCTCGGCCACCAGGGGGCAGGAGCGGGCGGCGCTGGGGTTCTCGGCCGGCCGGCCGGGGCAAACCGGGCCGACAGGTGCCCCGAGGTCCGTGCTGGACTGCACTTCCAGGCCGTGTGTCCCCATGCTCGTTTCTGTTGGCGGCCGCCCTGGCCGCGCGGGGTGAGAAAAGTTACAGGGATTTGAGGTTCTCGCGCGGTGCAGCCCGACCAACCCTGCGCGGACAGGCGAGAGGCTAGGATGTGGGACAGAGATGGCGCGCCTCTGAGGGAGGGATGCGGGCCTGGGCCCCTGTCGCAGGAGCCCGCGCACACTTCCAGGTAGCGAGTTCGCGACCTGGGACAGCTGTCCCAGAGAACTGGAGGGATTTGGGTTTAAAGACAGGCGCTTGCCGGGTCCAGCGCCGCCCGGGCCTTGGAGGACGGTGGCTGTGAGGTGACCTCCCGAGTTTGCCTTCTGCGCCTCTCTTCCCGGGCTAGCCTCGCAGAGGACGTCTCCTGCAGCGGGGGGACCGTCCTATCAGCCGCGTTGTTTATGGCGCCTACTGCTGCCTCCCGAGGGCTTGGGAGGTGGAGCTACTTCGGGCTGGGAACCAATCCGTGCTGAGGTGTGCGGGAGTGAAAAGTGATCCCGGCCTGTCCGCCCGGCTGGACGAGTTTGGGGTTGGGGTGCCACATGGCTCTTTTCCTAAGAAACATGAAAAAAGGGGGCAGCGGGAACAGCCACAGTGGATCCTCTCCAAGTGTGTATAGGGGGTGAGAGTCACAAAGTGCTGACCCCCTGAAACACTCGGTCTACGGTGGCACCTCCTTGACTGGTTGCACGTGGCCCATGCGGCTGTTCTAAGGACACTCAGACCAGCACTACATATGTAACTAGCCCTGGGCCCCTTTGTCAGCCCTGGGTTGCCCAGAGACTTACTGATTCCCCCTCTTGATTTCTAAAGGACTTGAAAGAGAAGAAGGAAGTTGTGGAGGAGGCCGAGAATGGGAGAGACGCACCTGCTAATGGGAATGCTGTAAGTGTTCGCCCTGCTTAGGACTCCCTAGCGGCTCCTGGCCCAGAGGTTCTCTTACTCTCAGTTTTGGGCTTAGGCCAGGGCTGCGTGCTTGAGCCCTTGGGCAGTTCTGGTGTCAAGGTCTGGCGGGGCCTTGGTGGGGAGGGGGATTAATTAAAGAGGGTTTTCTTGGGTGGCCTGGGGCCGTGGTAGCACAGGGCAGGGCCTGGGGGGAGGAAGGGGGCGGGAGCTATGCTCTGTCCTTACTAACCCGGGTTTGTTTTCTGTTGAGAATGAGGAAAATGGGGAGCAGGAGGCCGACAATGAGGTAGATGAAGAAGAAGAAGAAGGCGGGGAGGAGGAGGAGGAGGAGGAGGAAGGTGATGGTGAGTAGTAGCCTTGTGTCTCCCCCCTTTTGGGGTATCTTTCCCTGGCCTTGTCTGGCAAAGTGGGGGATTGGGAGCTTCTAGGTGTGGGGCTGGTGGACCACCTACAACTGGTCCTGTGTCTGTGGAGGTGGGACCAACCTTTTTGTAGGCTGACGGCGGAAAGCTGTGCCCGACACCCTCACACATTCAGCCTGTGGGAGAGCCCCCCCATGCCCCGATCTGTGTGCAGGTCCTTGGGACCTCTTCTCTGAAGGCGACGGCTGCGTGGATGGTGTGGGAACCCTGGCTTCCCGGTTCGACAGGGAGCAGAGATCAGGGACACTGCCCTGGCAAATCTGTTCCTGGGGAATTGCAGGAGCTTCGGGTCCCCCCCACCCCTCCCCCCCCGCGTGGAGAGTACCAGGAAGCTTCCTTGGCTGGCTCACGAAGGCAGTGTAGTTTACCTGGGGTTTGATTCTCCAGGTGAGGAAGAGGATGGAGATGAAGATGAGGAGGCTGAGTCAGCAACAGGCAAACGGGCAGCTGAAGACGACGAGGTGGGTTCTGGTTTGCGGGAGGGGAGTTTGGGGTCTTGGGCTCTGTAGCTGGAGGGACTGGGGCTGATGGGACTTAGCTGGGGAGTGTGTGGTTCTGAGTGGCTCCACTTTGAGCAGGAACAGGAGGGAACGTAGGTCCAGCATCCCAGAGCTCCGGAGGCCTCTGGCACTGCCCGCGGGAGCTGAGGTGGTCAGTCGGGCCTAGCTGGGACTGGAGAGGTGGGTCAGTCCTCCGCAATCTTTCTCCCTGCCCAGGATGATGATGTTGACACCAAGAAGCAGAAGACTGATGAGGATGACTAGACAGCAAAAAAGGAAAAGTTAAACTTAAAAAAAAAAAAAAAAGGCCACCGTGACCTATTCACCCTCCACTTCCCGTCTCAGAATCTAAACGTGGTCACCTTCGAGTAGAGAGTCCGGCCCGCCCACCCACTGTGGGCAGCGCCACCCGCAGATGACACACGCTCTCCACCACTCAACCAAAACCACAACGTGAATTTGCAACAGGGGAGGAAAAAAGAACCAAAACTTCCAAGGCCCTGCTTTTTTTCTTAAAAGTACTTTAAAAAGGAAAATTTGTTTGTATTTTTTATTTACATTTTATATTTTTGTACATATTGTTAGGGGTCAGCCATTTTTAATGATCTCAGATGACCAAACCAGCCTCCGGAGCGTTCTCTGTCCTATTTCTGACTTTACTTGTGGTGTGACCATGTTCATTATAATCTCAAAGGAGAAAAAAAACCTTGTAAAAAAAGCAAAAACAACAACAAAAAAACAATCTTATTCCGAGCATTCCAGTAACTTTTTTTGTGTATGTACTTAGCTGTACTATAAGTAGTTGGTTTGTATGAGATGGTTAAAAAGGCCAAAGATAAAAGGTTTTCTTTTTTTTTCCTTTTTTGTCTATGAAGTTGCTGTTTATTTTTTTTGGCCTGTTTGATGTATGTGTGAAACGATGTTGTCCAACAATAAACCGGAATTTTATTTTGCTGAGTTGTTCTAACAAAGCTGTCTCAAGCCTGGTTTTTCTGTGTTTCAGTCACTTCAGACCTGGAGAGGGGCAAGGGTAGTAGGAAAGAATCTTGATTTTAGGCTCAGCTGTCTTTCCTGGGGACAGTGGCAGTGGGTTGAAAATAACCAGTTTGGGTAAGGGGATGGGTGTGCACTGTGAGCAGCAGGGTGGCTGTGGTTGGTCAGGGACTGAGCTGCAGCTGGCTGGTGGGACACGGTGAGGGTCACCAGTTACTGGTGAGGGTCACCAGTTACTGGCCGGAGCGGGAGCTGCTTACCAGGTCGGTCCCTGATGGTACACCCAAGAACCTTTTCTCAAGATCACATCATTGATGGCCAAGTGGAACTGGGTGCCATGGAAGGAGGTGTCCACAGCCCCAGGCCTGAAGAATGGGCCACATGAGGGGCTACCTGACTGGAACCTGAGGTGGAGGGTGACACAGTTGGAATAAGCACAGGGCCAAGACCCACACACCTCACTTTGCAGTGGGGTGGGGTAACGGCTTGACAATTAGCACAGCCTCCAAATGGCCTCCCCTGGTGGTGGTAAGTGGCACTTCTGGTCCCTTGGGACTTTGGGGCACTTGTGCAGTCTTGTCCTACTTCTCCAAGCTCTGACCTCAAGAAACCAACAAACAGTACCTTGGTTAATGGGTTGGGGCTCCCTGCCCCCTGAGCAGAGTTGGAGATGTAGGTGGGCTGTTTGGATTTTCAAACATGTGACAGGTGAGGAAAACTGAGGGTGTGACCTCAGGAATCAGGAAGTGGAGGTAACTTAGAGCCCACTAAGAAGAACTCTGGGTTGTTACCTAGCCTGGGGTCCACAGGTGAGCTTGTGTGGCAGAAGCCCCTGCATAACATCCGTAGTGTGTCCCCTTGTCAGACAGCTGAGCTTTATCTTGGGTTGGGGAGTGTTGAAACTCCAGTAGTGAGGGTGCCAGAAATGGGCTTCTGATGCAAGGTAGAGAGGTTGCAGGACTGTAATAGGGGACATGTGTTTGAGAAGTAAAGACCTAGGTCCTGCCCCTAGCTGCCCTTCTGCCCCTAGCTGGGCAACCCTGGCCTTTGTCCTTTCTGAATGTGGTCTAGAGACGCCTCTGGTGTCGGGTCAAAGTGAGATGTGCACTCATGGGGCACAAGGGAAGGGAGGTTAGAATGAGGGCACAGATCCTGGCTCAGGATGGTCAGTTTCCTCCACCTGGAGTGCCCCTGAGTGTCCCACAAGCAGGGTGGCTGTGGGCAGAGGAGGGGTGGAGACTGAGGAGCTGTGCATCCTCTCCACCCCCATTCTGGCCATGTGGGGGTTCCTTGCCTTACCTTTGAACTGACGGTGGGGACACATTTATCACAGGAGACTGTGGGGCCCAGCCCCTCCTGAAATTGTGGGGTATTTCATCCACATCCTATCCCCCTCCTCCCACTGCTCCTCCACCCTCCCTCCTTCCCTCGCAGGCCCCTACCATCTGTGTTAAAGAATCATCTGTTTTCAAGACACCTACAGCGGGGGGCTTGGAAGATGCCAGTGTTAAACCAGGGCATCCATCCACAATCTACGTAGGGCAGTCTACTATCCTGGGCCACAGATGAGGGTGCTTTGCACACAGGGATAAGGGCACCTGATGGCAGACAGGCTTCCTAAAGCTCCAGGATGAGGGTCGTCTCCCTCCCAGTGCCCCGCCTCAGTTGCTCACCAGCCACCAGCCTCCCTGTTCATGGCAAGGTTGGCCTGCCCTCAGGCCTTTGTACTTGCTGTTCCTGCCACAGGAATGCCCGACTCCTAGACTTCTGGCTCAATCCATGTTAGGTCTCAGGGTGACATTATCTCCCCAGAGAGGCCTCCCCCAGCCTTGATTTGAAGAAGGCCCCAGTTCTCTCCCTTTGCTTGTATATTTACCTGACTGTGTGCTTTTTGGCTGCCCCCCACCGAGGGCAGGGGCCACTTCTTACCGCATTTCCCTGCACGTGGTAAGTATTCTGTCCATTCCATTCATTTGCTCACTCGTTTGCATACATACCAAATGCTTTCTGCCAGGCACTATTCTAGGCTCCAGAGATCCAGAAAGGAGCAAGAGAGACAAGACCTCTCTTCCCAACGTGGCAGGACATTTCCTGGCGTGGGACACCATTCTACACCTTGTCTCTCTTCCATCTGTGGTGTTCTGGGAGGACCTTGCCCTTCACAGGGGCTGGGGCCTGTGGAGTGTGGAGTTAGGACAGTGTGGAGTGTCCTCACTAGGTCGCTCAGGTCACAGGCAGCCTATCTCCCTTTCAGCTGTCCCCAAACTACTGCCAGGGTCAGGGTCAGAGAGAGGCTTTGGTAGGAGGGACTCCCTGACCCTGTGTGCCCATGCCATGCGGCTTGCACAGGCTGGGCCACTGGTATCTCCAGGCAAGGCTAGCTGCTCTGTCTTGCTTCCCAGGGCAGCTCAGTCCTGCAGATGTTCCTCAGAGCTCAGGGTGGGTCTCTAGGGTGGGAGAAGGGGGCTGAGAAGACCACATAGCAGGTGATGCGCAGAGCTGGGATCTGGTCTAATCCAGCTCCCTCGGGCTGTGTGGCCTTCTCAGAACTATTATCCCCAAAACTCCCAGAAAGGAGGTGAGAAGCTTAGCCTTGTGCAGACACAGACATGGCAGCCACGTTAATATGGGCAAGTAACTGAAACTTGACGGGCTGAAATCTCTGCATACTGGGAACAGGAGCTTGAAGCTTGGGCCAGGCCCCGAGCTGCCTTTCTTAGGGTCCCACCTCTGCGCTGAGCTCACAGCACCGTTTGTCCCAGCAGCCCAGCCTTAACCCACCAAAGATTTGGTCTGGAACAGCCCTTGCTCCCTTTAGTGGAACCCACTTTCCTCTAGTCCTGAGCCCAGCATATGATTTGTCACTGTCTGGAGACCTGTCCTTAGGGTCCAGCGTCTCCTCCATCCTACTTCCACAGTCCTCTCCAAGGGCAAGGACAGGGCCACCCAAGTATCCCAAATTGTAAGATTTGCTAGGGACGCGCGCCCTCTGGTGGACATAGAGGAACTGCATGAGGCTCCCTAGGTTCTGCTCAGTGCAGGAAAGAGCTCTTCAGGAGGCTCTGGGCCCCGGGGGTGCAGCCTCAACTCCTCCCACATCCAACAAGACCTTCCTCCCTCTCTGTTGCTGGAATCCCAGGGAGATGTGCAAGGCAGTGGTCATTTCCCAAACCTTCCTTCTAGGCAGGTGTTGGCCCATCCCAGGGATCTGGCCCTTCTTTTCTTGGAGGGGAGACTCTAGGCCTCACCAGAGCCACAGCTGAGGTCAGGGTGGGCACCTCTGAAGTAATGGGCTTTCTCTGGATTCAGTTCCCCTGGGATTCCTTTTGCTTAACTCCATTTAAATGTTTGGTGTGGACAATGCCTTCCTAGGGCAGGCCCAGCTCTTGGTCATCCCTGGGTCCTATTGCAGGCCTTCTTACAGTGGTCACTGACCTGAGTACAGCCCCAGGGCCTTTGGCTGCTTGAAACTGGGGCCTCCAGCTGTACTCCCTGGTATTCTCTGAACTGCTTGCTCGGCTGCCTGAGGTCTGAATGCCAAGATCTGGTTCCACCTCAACTCCACTGCCATCCCGGTCCAGGGGGCCAAAGGCCTCCTAGAACCAGGGTTCTGATGCCCAGTTTACTTCTGCCAGGCTGCCTCTGTGGCCTCCTGTGTCCTGGATGCAGGCCAGCCCTGCCTGCCTCAAGCCCCTAGCCACTCTGTGGTCCCCTCCTGGTGGAAGCTGCTGCCTGGTGATAGAAACCCTGGTCCCAGCTTTACATGGGGTAGTCCAATTTTGTAGTGTGGTTGTTTGCCTCTCCCCAACCCCAAGCCCTTTGAAGGCAAGGACAGGACCAGCCAGGGAAGGGGACAGGGCTGTCTGCAGGCTTTCCTCTGCAGAGACCTCAGCCTACACTCAGAGGTTTTGCTCTGAGTTCAGAGAGGTAATAAAAGCTCAAATTAGGAAATATGGCTGAAACATTCTAAGGCGACCTGGGACATTGATATTTCATACTGTGTGAATGATACATGCATTATTTAAGAAGGCCTAGCAGCCAGTGGCTGATGTGGATTCAATGAAGTCCTGAGCATAGCCAAGGGACCCAGCTTGGAGGCTGTATATTCTCATGAGCCCTCGGTCAAGGCTGCTGCTCGTAGCAACAAGAAGTGCCAGGTGGTCACTTGAGACAACCTCATTTCATATGCACCCATGCTGGGGCCTGGCTTTTAGGCTCATGGCAGGGAGCGCATCCCTTGCAGGAATGAGCTGCTAGTAAGGATTCCAAAAGGTACCAGGGGACATGTTGTTTTTGCCACCACCAGCCATCCTATCAACCTTCTTTCAGCAATAATCTCTTGAAGCAGTGTCCAGTTTGCCTCCTGGAGAACTTCCCCTCCCCTACTATCAATCAAGATCTATGGACAGAATATGTGACTTAGTCCTAGCTAGTCAGTACCCTGAGGGCCCCTGTGGCCATACTGATTGGCTCAGAGCTGACATATGACCCAAGCTGATCCAATTAGAGTGAGCCGTGGGATTTTTGATTGAAATGCTGGGAAGGGAAGAAATTTGGGCCTGGGCCTTGGGCCTTCAGTTTAGGCAGCTGAGTGACAGGCAGAGGCTGTAGCCCTCACAGGTAGCAGAGTTGAACCAAGAGGCAGAGGAACCCTCAATTCTGATAAGATTTCTTCAGCCCCTGGGGCTAGCCATGCCTGAAGCTAGACGGATTTCAGTACTTTTCATTTATGCCAGTCAGTGAATTTCCTCCTAGCTTAAGCTGGTCTGTCATCTCTGAGTCACACTAGTAAACAGGAGAATACAGGGCTCTAGTCTCCAAGGCCAACCAGGTCTCCATGAACAGACAGCTTGAGGAGGGAGGGGAACAGCAGAGGATCACTTCTCTGGTGTAGTTTCCAGGTTTCTTACAACAGAGGAAAGTAAACTGGCCTCAGAAAAGGCTCATGGTCCATCTCTCAACAGCATTGCTTGACTTA